TGTGTCTATGTGTGCGTGTGATGTTCAAACCCAACGTTACCTACTTAGAATCTATGACTATGTGTTCTTTCAGACAACGTTGTTCAGGCTGTTGAGACCGTGCAAACATTTACATTTCAAGCCATCATGAATGCCCTTGTTTCCGTGGACTCCTTCTTCTTCCTAAGGTAATGTACAGTTAACATGTTGTCTAGTAGAATATCTTTGTTTATTGCTGTTAATTATAATGATTCCGAAAGTTACTAACTCACCTTCGAAATATGAAAAGTTGGCTACTACAAATATGGGAAACAATGTGAGCATTGGCCTATTTTATTTATTTTATTCGTCACAGTTATTGAAAAATAAACTAAATGTTGAAACCTTCCTTCCAGTGGGCTCCTGATGACATACCTTCTGCTCAGGCAGATCGGGAAGAACCGAGAGAAGGGAAAATCTGTTCCGTACGGGATGTTGTACTTCCACAGATATTGGAGGTGAGGATACATTATCACGTGAATTCTTGTGTTTCTTTTGTTTGGCAGAATTCACATCTTAAAAACCAGTGTACGACTTTAAGTTCTAAACACTGTCAACGTTTTCTTCTTTAAACAACAAACAATTAAGTATTGTATGTTTCTCCGAACTGCTTCTATTTCTCATTACGTGATATACTGCTTGGAGAAATCTGCCCCAATGATGCTAGGAGGGTAGATACTGTACAGTGTCGTCAGTGCCAAACGAATATAAACATATCGTGCAACACATTAACAATTGTGTAGCACTAAAACACTCGCCTTCATACTGTCGTCCTCAGGTTGACGCCTACATACATGTTCGTCATGATGCTGTACGTGTGGGTGCTTCCCTACATGTTCTCTGGTCCCTTCTGGCCACCGGCACCTTTAGACCCAAACTGTGGGGACAACTGGTGGACAAACATACTGTACATCAACAACCTGGTCAACGATGACAGGCAGGTACGTATATTTATGTTTACAGATGGAAAACATATTGTTTTTGCTCAGTTTCTTCTTCTTCTCCAAACAAATAAGGTCAATGACCTGAACCAAACGTCCGTCACCATGGTAACTAGTGTTGGGTTACATCATGTTGCAATTTTATAGCAGGAGGGATTTAGACTACCGTCACCATATATGAATGTGTTTGAGTACGAGTTAACAGAGCAGACCATGTGCGAAGGTAAACATTATGCATTTGCTTATGTTTCTAGTTCCAAGGAAAATCAGTGCTCCTTCATCTACATAATATATATCTGATTAATATTGCTTTATTATGTATATACAACGTTACTATTGATTTCCGTCCTATGTTTAATCTTCAACTTGATTTTCTTCACTCTTCCCTAAGTGTATGATCTGGTCCTGGTACCTGGCCAATGATATGCAATTCTTCGTCATCGGAGTTCCTCTCGTCTACATACTGTACAGGTATGTCTCGTTTTATACCTTATATTGTCCTCTAATGTCCTGGATAATTAGGAAACCCATGGTGAGATGTCTTCCCAGGCCCATACAGGCTTAGTAAGTCTCAATCATTTGAAAACTGTGCAGTCTCTCTCCACCCATTATCCATTATCGTGAACCAGAATGATTCTAACGGTATTTTAAATGTGAGCACTAATTGTATCCCACCGCTGCCACCATGTGTAGCGTGTCGATATACAGAGTGTTAGATTAACGGTCTTGACACAACGAGTGTACGCTGCAGACTGGCTTTATTGGACTTAATCAGGTATAAATGTATATCAGGATTGTCTGAAAAAATGTCAAAACGACCTGAGTGCATTATCCTGTATAAATAAATAAAGTGAAAGTGAATCAGACATAGATGTGACACAGATGTTCTAGTCTCGTTTGGTCCCAAGTTTGTATCCCCAACACTAACTAAAAAACAGAATGATATCATTTTGTCTAAAATGCATTCCACCAGAAAGACGTGTTTCAGATATACGCAGCTAAGTTTCGCTCATGATACATCTGCTTACTCACAGGTGGCAGATACTGGGGATTGCTGTGAAGCTGGCTCTTCTTTTGGCAAGTTTCATCACCACTGCAGTCATCAGTTGGCACTATAACCTGAAAGCCCCTGGCGGGTAAGGATACCGTTTGATATCCCTGAGTGATGACAGACCCTAGCCTGTCGTTACACACAGTAAATGCAGCGACGTATGTGAATTTTGCTGCACTGTTTTGCGTTAAACTTTGTAAATCCCGTCTGTATAATCTGTAATTCATGGTATGACCCATGCTCATAAAATCCTGAAAATTATTCAGGAGTACCATTCCGTGAATAGTTTCATCAGGTTGGTAAGTTACTTAGTAAAGACTCTAGCTTTTTAGACAACCAAGTGTTTTATTCACAGCCGACGTTTCGCGGTGACCGTAGGTTACCTTCCTTAGGGCAATTCTGACTGGTTCACATTGCACTACAGCACATGTGTCGCTGCTATAGATGCATTCCCAAACATATCTACACATATACGTGGTTACATGGAACTAGCTGTATCAGATTCTACAATGTGGTCCCAAAAGTACAGGAGTATGTTACATACATAATTGTAGCCAGTTAATTAACAAAATCAGGAGTAGTGTATAGTTTCTAGTTCTTCGAGGATACATGCATATGCATTTATTTGTTTTCCAGGGACCCAGTTAAGTACTATGACAAGCCGTACTGTCGTATCGGACCGTATCTGGTAGGAGTTGCCGTTGGCTGGTTCCTGGTTAAGATTAAAAGAAAAGAGACAAAGAGCACGGTGAGTCAAGCTCATATCAGCACGATTTTTCAACAATATTTTAGTACTTACCTCAGATGTATACTTGACGCCCAACAGGAGTCACCACGGCTACTAATGGCTCTCCCAAAGCAATGAAGCAAGGGTGCCCCCCTCTCCCCAAAATCCTAGCACCTCTCCCAAAATGTTCAAATTTAGTGTTTTCTCTTAGTATTTTCATGAAATTCACTGATTTTTCATCAACCAATAATTAGGGAACACCTCTCCCCTAATAATTTCTGGGGAGAGCCCTGCGCGCCTGGTATTGTTGTGCCATAAGGGTTATCAACTCTTTGCCGATGATTGTCCATTACAAGAAAGCCCGGAGAACACCAATCTAATTCCCCTTCTTAACAATCCTCGTTGAAACGACGATACCAGTTATGTAATCTCGTATCTATCAGACTGAACGAGTGTTGTCTATCAAATGATCCTGAAAACACAATTGACAGCATTTGTTCCTGTGTAGGCTAACAACTAACTTTCGCCATTTATGTATCAGACCTTGAGACAGTTGATGGTCCGGATTGGTTGGATCGTTGCTGCTTCCTGTGCCGTGGCTGTGCTGTATGCAACATACGGCCTGTACCAGGGGACAGCTTTCAAGACAGAATCCGAGCATGTGTTGTACCTGACTGTGCACCGTACTGTCTGGGCCATGGCGCTTGGTTGGGTGGTTATCGCGTGTTATCATGGATACGGAGGTAAAAATACATGTAATTATGTTTACCTTCGTTTTTCTCCTTCTCCATACAAATAAGGTCAATGGCCCTAACCAGACGTCTGGCACCGCGTGGTGACTGGTGTTGGGTTACATCATGTTGCAATTTTATAGCAGGGGGGATTTAGACTCCTGTCTGACCATATATATATGAATGCGTTTGAGTAAGAATTAACAGAGCAGACCATATGCGAAGGTAAACATTATTTGCTTTGCTAGATGCTGTTTTGTTGATCGAAAACACTTTGATGTGTGATTTTATTTTTCAGATTAAAACTCAAATGATACACTCTCTAAATAAGTACTAATTTTTTTCTGTTCTGTTCACTTTGTCATTATTGTCAATTGTCTAGTATTGCCATTGGTATTAAAGTATTAACTGGTAACTAATTTTGACATTCATAAGGTGTAATTTCTGAACGCACCATGTTAGAACTCTTGCAGCCAGAGAGATATGCAGAGTCTATTTGTTCGATTGGTCCACTATTAACCATTGACCGTTGTGATGTTTTTGTCCACTACAGGAGTGGTGGACATCATTCTTTCCTGGGACGCCTGGGTGCCCCTGAGCCGACTGACGTACTGTGCATATCTGGTACATCTTCTGGTGATGTATGCAGTATACCTCACCAGGGAGGTGCCCGTCCACTACTCCATGTTCACTATGGTACGTTGATGTACTCTCCAAGCAGAGGTTTGGGTTTTGGGGGTATTTTTAGTGTGTTTTTGGGCTTTTTATCGGGCCCTTCTTTTGCTTAGGGCACACGTGTTTTTCTCAGGCACACGTCCCGGCTTTTGGATCTGGAAAAGTCCCCCCGAATTTCCTATCTACACTGCAATTATAGTGCACTTGGGAGTGAACATAAGCAAAATAAAGTTGACTTCAAGTTGAAGTCATACAATACTTCCCAAAAACAGATTGGGACAGTTCATCCTCACTTCGGGACAATTGAAATTTACTTTTGGGACAGTGCTGGGGCAATAGGAAGATAGGTTAATTTCGAAGCCTGGTACGTACATACATGTACATGAATGACAAATAGACAAGTATTTACGTGTTTTTATTGCCTCACTACCTTGACTTAAAAACTGATCACACACCACTATCACACAAACTAAAGCAGGGTGTGGATATCAAAGAACATGCCTTTGAGCAAATTAAATTTCGTCTCTTGTCTTATGATAATGGTTTGTTTCGCTGACTTCGAATGTCCTTGTTACTTTCTCAGATCTATTTCTTCTTGGGACACTTGACTCTATCCTACGGTGTGGCCTTCCTGGTGTCTGTGGCAGTGGAAGCACCATTACTGGGACTGGAGAAAATCATCTTCAACAAATGAGACAGAACTTTACCACAGTCAACACAAGAGACATTTTATGCACGAAGGATGGGCAACCTAATCATTATCACCCTTTGAATATTTTATGGCTATAACTCAACAAGTTTTCGCAAGGATTTAACATATTAAGAAAATGCATGTACAATGTATGTTAATGTGGAGGGCATTTGCATATATAAGGCCATGTTGATTTGATTATATGGATGACATCCGCGCGCGCATGAATTTTTCGGCCGTTTCAAAAAAAAAAAAGTTTTCAACCATACTGTAAATCGTACAAAACAGTTGCAAAATGAGCAAAAATATACCGTAAGTTACAAAAAAACCATACCAATGTCGTAGAATGCCAAAATCAAACGAAAAAAGACGAAATTGTAAAGAAATGGACTTGAAGACTAGATTATTCGCCAAACCATATTCTGTCCCATTTGTTCAACCCTCATGACCACGTAGATTTCATAATGAAAACAACTTTTTTTTTGCAAAACTTTTTTTTTATTCGCACGCGCGCATCAATTTTGGGGTTCCCGGAGGATGTCATCCATATAATCAAATCAACATGGCCTAATTGCTGATAAAATGTTGGGACAAAACCTTGCCAAAGAATAGAATTTTGCAGATAAGTGTATGTAATTTGAACGCCTCTGAAACCTTCTTGGCGAAGGTAACTAAATATACATCGTCAGCATTATTGTTCTAACATGTAAATTTATAGTCAGAACTTTTGTTCTAAATATGTATACTTACTAATATGCCACTCTAGCACTTGTGCGGGAGTGGCTGATAATATTAAAGTTGATTTATTTCTTGTTTTCCGTTCTTTGCACAGTGGTGACATTGATGATGTTCTCTCGAAATGTCAAAGCACGCAGTCGATAGACCGGTACTCTCTGCAGGGCCCTCTAGCGAAAAAGATCAGCATTGCATTGATCAATTGACAGATACGTAACATTGCACTGAGCTAGCCTCCTGTGCAGGCCCCGCGGCGGTGGGGAAGAGTTTTTAACGCGTTATTTTAATATAGCCGGCC